CGGGCTGTTCTGCCACGGCTGCCACAGCTGGAGACCAGGCTGGCACTTGGTGAGGACGGTGAGATGGAGGAGGTTGCTTTTCCCGAGTTTGTCTTTGCGTCCTGCTGGACAGATCTGTGACCACAGACTGGAGATGTCCGGGAAGTTCTCCCCGGGACAAGGCCAGACCCGTCTCCAACCTCCAGTAGGTCACCCGGGCCCCAGGGCCCCAGGACTGCGGGGCCACAGCACCAGCCACACAGTGGGTGTAGCTCAGAATGGTGCTGGGGGTGGGGGTCTCTGAGACGTGTTCTGCCCGGCCCTGAGGCTCTCCCTCGCTCAGGCCCCCTCAGCCAACCACTCCTGGTCCTTTGGGTATCACAACATTTTTATACGTTTAAAATGATTTTGGAGGCTGACGTGGTATTGCCAACATTTAAATTATTTCTTAGTTTCCAACAAAGTCTATTATCATAAAAGTTATTCTACTACCAAAAGTGTAGGAAAACACAACTTAGGAAGAGAGCTCTTCCCAGGATGGGGCTCAGTGGCATCATTCTTGATGACCCGGCTACCTCCTGTCCCGTTTCCTCTGAAGTGAGGCTGTGGTCGCTTTCAGGACCTGCAGGGGCCCCCGGCTCCTGGGCTTCTGCACTTCCTGCAGTGCTGGACAGAGGGCACCTGTGACACCATCAGAAATGGCTCCTGATTGGCCGGCTGGGACAAGAGGCCATTTCAGGGACCCTCGCCCTACTCTGCTTCCACCAATATCCACAGTACCCCAGATCCCACAGGGACAGGCAAAGTCACGGCCACCCACTGTTTAGAAAAGGAGGTGTTTTCTTCGGATTTAAGATGGCAAAGCCCTGTGGCCGTCACTTCCCAGCCAGAAGGGACCAGGGCACGGACTGATGTCTCCAAGAAAGGTGTGGGGCCCAGGCCACGGGCTGCAGAGCTGCTGGGTGTGGACACTTAGAACGCGAATCTGGCACCGCTGAAAAACGGAGTGGATTTTCACCCAGCAATCTCACGTGAAAATGTTTGGATCCTGTATTTGAAGAAATCAGAACAAAAAATAGACGACCTTTAAGTATGATTTCTTCTTTGGAGAAATAGAAATTATCTTGACCACCAAAGCTCAATGACTCCTGTTATTGGAGCGTGTCCTGCCAGGCCGTGCCTAGGAGCTTGGTGGCGCGCAGTGACATCTTGGAGCGGCAGGGCCTAGGCGAAGGCGGCCAGGTTCTCGAGGCAGCTTCAGAAGTGGCTGGTGTCCTCCTCACGGGCCCTGGGTGTCCCATGTGCACTGCCAGCCTCGCCCTGCGGCGCCCATGTGGCCCTGCTGCCGGTGGCCAGGTCCCTCTCTCGCCAGTGTTGTGACGAAGCCGGGTCCCTTGCGGGGACACTGCCACGCTGTGTGGCCCCCGCCACCAGCACCATGTTCCTATGAAGCGCTCACCTCGCGCCTTCTGTTGCAGCCGCAGGGAGCAGGCAGAGTCATCGCCATCCGTGATGCGGAAGGAGCACTACGGGGCGTCAGGAAACGGACTAGGAGGGACCCCTGCGCTTCGATGCGGATACTCAGTGCCCGGCGAGGGCTGAAGGGACGTGGACGGCCCCCACTGGACCCCTGGGGGCCGGCTCTGTTCATCCACTAGACAGGAAGGCCCTGGGCCTGCAGCGGGGCCCACAGCCCGTCCCCCGGTGGCCGGTGCCCGCCCCGCCCTCGGCTTCTTATGAATGAGCCATGAACAAAGCACGCGGAGAGCAGCTGCTGTTTTCTTCAATTTAATTGAAGTTACTTAGAAAAATAATCGGGGTGAATGGCTTTTCCCGGAGAAGGTTCATGAACCCCTCCCGCTTGGTGGCAGCGTGGACTCCAGCTTTCCTGAGCAGCAGACTGAGGTACGGGGGGGCCCAACGCGCCCTCCACTGCGAATTCAGGAAACCCCACTCCAAGGAGACGCTAGGTCGCCCCCCCCCGTGTCCTTGGGCCGCCCGGAGCTCTGTGGGAGGACGCGGGTGGCGCCTTGCGGGCCGCAGAGGGGCTGCGACGGGAGAGGCTGCGAGTGGCGGCGGCACTCGGCGAGCGGTGTGGTCAGTCCAGCTGACGGGGACGGGAAGGAAGGGGCTGGCGCAGGGTGGCATGGCCGGGAAGCTAGGGCTGCGCGTGCGTGTGCGTGTGCGTGACATGGCTGGGCAGAGGAAGCAGAGGGCTGGCCGGGAAAGCACGCAGAGCCCCCCTGCTTTTTGCCAAGTTAGCACAGCGACTTTTGCAACCCGTCATCTCAGCTCTGGTCCAGCGCCCGCTGGCTCAGCGCACTAGGGACTCATGCACTGCTCTGGGGCGAGGGCAGGGCTTAGACCCTGTGCTTCCACGCCTTGCTCCCAGGAGCACTGGCGTCACCAAGGTTCCCAGCACCCACGCTTTCCTGGGGGCTCCGCACCCGAACATGCAGGAGAGGGGACTCCTCTGACAGGGAGGACGACAGTCTTTCCGCACTGCAGAAACAGTTGAATTGGGTTTTTGTTTTTGGTTTTTGTGGTACCGGGGATCGAACTCGGGACCTTGCGCTTGCGAGGCAGGCAGCGAAACCACTGAGCTAAATCCCGGCCCAAGAATCAGTTTTTTTAAAAAAAATTTATGTTATTAGAAAATAAAACGTGAACCCAAGACAAGAGGAGACGGGGCCCCCACTTCAGGAGGGAGAAGCCGATGAGAGGTGAGGGGCACCGAGCACCCCTGCGGGGACCCCAGGCAGACAGGACAGACGCGGGCCGCCTTTCCATGACAGCTGGACAAGCGCACAGCGAACTGTCCGCGCTCCGGAGCCGCCTGACGCTGTGCGTGGGGCTGCCGGGTCCCCTCCACCGGAGACGCCCCCTCTGCCGCGGAGGGACGGACCCACTGCCCGCGGCAGGAGCTGGGATCAGAGCCACTGCACTCCAGTAAGAGCTTAATCCATTTCCTAAAGCACCTGGCGTATCGCTTTTGCTTATGGGGTGGGGGTGGGGGGCAGTTTCATTCTTGCAGGCCTCAGATACACTGTCACCCTAACCAGAGTGCATGCTGGGGGACGGGGCTCTCTGCGGGGACCTGCACGGTCAGGATGTGCTGCCCACTTGGGGTGCTCTCTGGGGTGCGGAAAGCCCAGCACACACTCAAGGTTCTGATAAGGCCTGCAGAGAGCAGACTGACCTCGGTTTGTTTTCCGAGGGTGTGTGGCCGAAAAAACCCCTCATTTTTATCACACCACCTCCACGCCCCAGAGGGCACTGTGTTGGGAAACGCTGCACAACCTGTCCCAGAGCAGAAGCCCTGTTTCTGAGGACAGCGCCCCCTGCCCACTCCAGTTCCAGGGACAGCAAGGCCAGTCCAGGGCATGGCTGCCGGGCCGGCCAGAGGGGCAGGAGCCGGGAGGAGGCACGTGTTGGAGAAACAGCTCAGGCACCTTCCCCGGGGCGCCCCTTGCTCCTGTTAAATAAAATCATTTCCTTGGTGAGACAGGAATTTCCTGCCACTCGCTGGCTTGCTGTGAGACTCACAATACAATTTTAACCATTTCTGTGAATAAATTACTCATTTTTGTTTGTTTAGAATATTGTCATCCCTGGGCCAGGAATTTAGCTCAGTGGTTCTGTGGCTTGCCTCACAAGCGCAAGGACCCGAGTTCAATCCCCAGTACCAAAAACAAAACAAAACAAAAAACCCCATAGAATATTGTCATCCCTTCACCACATACTACATCAAAAACAAAACAAAAAGCAAAACTCACCCAGACCCCACCCACCTGCCACTATTATTGTTATTATTTTATTATTATTATTGACAGTATCGGCTACACACTCATTCATTGGCTGTCTGAGGGACATGGCTCAAGGCCAACAGAGGCTGGGAAGTGGCTGGGAATGAGATGCAGGTTTGGATGTTAATCAGCAAGAAGCAGAACATGGCAAACTTCCGGCCTCCAGGTGAGGGAGCAAGGGTTAAGGAGGCAAAGCTGTCCCTGCTGTCACGTATGGCAGTCATGAAGGGCTGTTGGGGGCTGAGCCTCCTCAGGACATGGGAGGGGTGCATGACCCCTTTTAAGCAAGGGGCAGAATGCCAGACGCAGTGACCCCTCAATACGTGCATGTCACTGTTATGTGTTGAGTAGGAAGCCCTAGGACGTCCCTGGCATGTCCCTTTCCCTGTCCAAGGCAGACATCACTAATTGATCACAGCACCCACCATGCTCAGCCTGCTGAGCACATTCTGGGGTTAAAAGCAGCTGCTACCAAGAGGCTGAACCAGGGTCAGGGTGGGGATGTTCTTGTCACTTTTTATATTGAGCAGTGTGCTCAGATCACTCACCAAGTGAGGTGGCTGATCCCAGTGTGTGGGGTCACAGACCATGCGGGCTGCTCATGAAGAGTCCAGAGCTCTTCTGAAGCCAGGGCCTGTCACAGTTTGCTAACTGCTGAGCTGAACGCTCTGTCTCCACGTAAACATTCACCAGGGCCAAGACTATGAGCCTGCTCAACGCCCTCTGCAAGGCCTACACATGGGCCTAGAATATAGTTGATGCTCAGTAAATACCCACTGGCTCTAAAGCAACAGCTACTTTGCCTTCTCCAAAACTGGCAGTACCAGTTAAGAATTCCCTTAAAAAGCCTCTTCTATCAGGCTGCTAATCCTGGTGAAAAAACTGCTACCCTCAGTTCTCTCTGTGGGTTAAAAAAAAGAAAAATCACATTTCTTTAGTGCAGGGGATGTTCAGGTCGACTGAAATTGGTTTGGAATTCATCCCCCAAGAAGACATCTCTTCCTGAGCACAAGAGCAACCTATTTCCTTTCCAGCAGAATTTCGAGAAGGGTAGCGTCCGTACACACACCAGGCCCATGCCGCTGATGCCGAGAGCTTGGCGTGGAGCAAGATCTCCAGGCGCCGAGGAGCTGTAGCAAAGCAGGAACCATAGATTTCTTCCGGGAGGGTGCCAACATGCTGCTTCCACAGAAAGAAATCTATACAGAGACCGTGTTTAAATAACTATAAATAATATTCATTAGGCTTTATGGGTGCACACTTCGTGGGATTCACCAGGACACAAGGGAAGCAGACGGAACGCCTGGACAAGGACACCCCATCCCGTCCTCCACCGAGACGGCACCCTTCCCCGCAAAGGATTCTTAAATAACTCTCACCATGCTGCTTACAGCATCTTCCCCCAAAGAAATATTAATTTACAAACTAACCCAGTATCCATAGAATTCTTTTGACAAATAAAAAAATCTTAAATTAAAAAGCAAGATTCTCTCCCTCTCCCTGCCCGCCCTCCCTTCACTCCAATTTCAGGTAGCTTGGCACTGAGTAATTGAACATTAAAAAGTCGAGTTTGTAGACTTCGTAGAGCTGCGTCTGGTGCTCGGAGCTGATGTTCTGGAAGAACTCTGTGGTCATCTCGTCAGTAGTTCGCGTGGACTTGGCGTAGGTGGGGAACTTCAGGTAGCTGCTCACGCCGGCCAGCTGCAGGACGTAATTGGAGTCCTCCTCCAGCGTCTCGTACTTGCCCACGAGGTCGTAGCGGATGTGGCACGGGTGGCACAGGGAGTAGACCGTCTGCCAGTGCTCATTGAAGGGCTCCTCGCGCTGCGTGTGCGGGTCAATGAGGTAGGCCACGAACTCCTCGAACTTGACGTCGTCACCCTTGCGCAGCGCCTCCTGCGTGGCATTCTTGCGCTGGCGCCGGATGATCTTGGTGCCGTAGCGCTTGTGGAAGGAGGTGTTGTACTTCTGCGTGAACTTGTTGCGGTAGGCCGACACCAGCCTCTCGAAGGGCTCGCGCACGAACAGGAACTTCATGTAGCGCTTCAAGCGCTGGTTGATCTCGGGGATGCTGTACTGGTTGAGGGTCTTCAGGTTGGCCGAGACGTGCGCCTCGCTGGCCGGGATCCCCATGGGGTCGCTGTACTTGCCGCGCCCCGTCAGCACCATCATGAGCCGCTTCCAGTTGGTGCACGCCACCTTGGGCACGTAGCAGTAGATGAGCCCGTGGTCCTCGTCCACCACCAGGTGCTTCAGGTCGCTGGGCGTCAGCACCCTGCGCTTGCGGCTGGCGGCGCTGTTGGCCCGGCACGCGTCGCTCACCTGGTCCCGCCGCATCTGGTGCAGGACGGCTGTGTTGGACAGCTCCAGCTGCGGGAACAGAGGGTGAGGGTCAGTGCTCTGGGGACATCGCCAGCGGCAGGGCGCTGCTGGGGGAGGTGCGTGTGCCCCTCGGAACCCCAGCTTTCTCCCCGGGCCCACACTGCCATCCACACCTGCCCTCCCGGTTCTCTGCCCAGCTCTGCTGCCACCTTGGTCTCCAGGACCCAAGGGTGTGAGACCTGCATGCAGCGGTGACCTCCCTGTGGCCTGAGTGCCTGGACCTGTGCAGTGTGGGCCTCCTTCTAACAGAAAGGAACCGATGTGAATTGGGGTTAAAATCATGGAGAAACTAGAGGCGCTGGGGCCGCGCTGTCCTGGTTTCCCTCCTGCCCAAGAACACGTCCCCGTCCATGTACCTGGCGTTATGGTTTAGATCTAAGGTGGCTCCCCAGAGTCTCGTGTGCTCAGAGGTGGGGCTTTTGAAGGGTGATGGGATCCTGGGGTGCGTACTCATCAGTGGACTCATCCATGGAGGCTTCCCAGCGGAACGTGCTGTTAGGAGGTGGGGCCTGGAGGTGGAGCGCTCACTCTGGCTCCCCCTCTGCTTCCTGGTTGCCATGGGTCAAGCAGCTTTCCTCCACCAGGCCATTCCACCATGACATTTCTGCCTCCGAGCCATGGACCATGGACTGCACCCCCTAAAGCCATGAGCCAAATAAACCTCTCTTCCTTTAACTTGCATTTCCTCCCCAAGCATTTCCTCCTAGCAATGGGAAGGCTGAGCGCCACATGGGTCTTTGGGCATTCTTGGTCTGGCAACACTCCGCTTTTCGAACCTTATCCTCACCCCTTCATGATAAAAGGCTTTTGGGAAACCAGTGAGTCACTCTTCCTTTGTGCCCCAACCTTTCCTTGGGCGGGGCCACCCGGGATCCTCCACCTCCACCTCTTCAGGTACAAGGTGACAACCCTTCAGGCCCGCACACGGTCCCACCACAGAGTAGAAGAACCATGCCTTCCCCTGAATGGCACCACCACCACTCCGCATGGCACAGCTGTCCTATCTACTTTGCACTTGGTTTTTTCAACTCTGGAGTCCACTGCTCCACAAGGACTCAGAGCCCACAGATTCTCCTCGGGCCAGACTGTGGTGGCCTTAGGGCGCAGGAGAGTAGATGGGGGAACCCAGGAAGCTGGCCCTGTGCCTGGTCTGCAGGATTCATTGCAAAACGAGCATGGGGCACCACACCAGGGGCCCAGAGGCGCTGGCACCCACAGGATACCCGGTGACACTGCATCCTGCGCCAGAGCTCTGTGCCTGCCTCACTTGTGGTCCCTGGGATGGCAACAGTGGTGAGGATGGAGCAGTGACCAGGACAGCAAGAGGCGGTGTGACCGCAAGCCTCGGAACCCACGTGTCCGATGCCCAGTCGCCCCCTCAACACTCACATGGACAGGCTCACAGTGCAGAGCGGTGCCTCACGTGTCTCCTGGGGACAGGAAGCACCTCTCACTCATTAGCCTCACACAGGGCTGGCGAGGGTGGAGGGAGCTGCTGGTCCCCCATACCTGCACCCCTCTGCAGCGTGGGTCTCCCCAGGCCTGGCTCGCCAGCAGCGGTGGAGGGAGTGGTGCCAACCAAGGTCTGGTGCCCAGCGTGAAGCCCATGTCCCCACCCTCCCCGCCCTGCTCTGCCCCCTGCAGGCGAGGCATGGAAAAGGCCCGTCTGGTCCCCGAGTGCCAGCCACACAGGGACCGCAGCTCCGGGCAGTCAGGGAGACCGTCCACTGCCCACCCACAGCACCCAGGCACGCGGTGCCTTGTGGCTGCTTTGTGCCACCAAGTTTTGGGGTGGTTTGTGACCCAGCAATAGACAGGAGGGGCAGGTGGGCAGCCCTGGGGTGGGGCTGTTGGGCAGGGTCCAGAGCAGCCAGGGCTCCGTGCACAGGCCGAGCATCTCTAACCCCAAATGCCCTGAAATCTGAAAGATTTCTCAGCAGCAACATAACATCACAGGTGGAAAAATTCCACACCTGATCTCAAGTAAGAGTTCACAGTCCCGCCATGAACTGGAAACATTGTATAAAATGCTCTCCAACGTGAGCATAGGGTGTGCAGGAAACGGAAATGACTCCCGTGCTCAGATCTGAGTCCCATCCCCAAGACAGCTCATGACATGCATGCAAATGCTCCAAAATCCACATCCCAAACACTTCTGGTCCCAAGCACTGCGGACAAGGAATGTCAACCTTTGCATTTTAAGATTCTGCTTGGTAAAACCGATTGGCCTGGGAGAATTTCCCAGACTGAGAATAACTGGTAAATGACTGACTGTTGGTTACCCGCAGGCCGACACCACCAGCGCTGGGCTTGTCCTCCCCATGGGGCCATAGCGAGGGGCAGAGACCCAGGCACCGGCCCCGGCCCCGTCCCTGTCGTGACCCATGTGCGGGTCTCGAAGCCTCAGCTTCCAGAATGACCTGGCCGGGAAGACCCGAGCACAGTCGGCGACAGCCAGTGTCCCTCCCTGGCACCTGGCCTCCCTGGTCCTGCCTGCCTTCCAGGCAGGAGCGGATGTGATCACTGGGCCTTGGACCCTGGGCATGGTCCACAGGCACTGGGCTTCAGCCGTGGCCATGTGCTCTGATCCGAGTCACAGAGGCTCCGCCCTGCCAAGGGCAGCACTTGGGCCCCGGGTGAGACTAGGCTATGGAAGCTCAACTCTTGGAGGCCAGGCACCCGTTGGCCCGGGGCTCTGCAGTGCTACTGTCACTGTCCAAGGACTGGGGCACCGTGCATTTGAGGAGACAGAAGGCCAGCGCCCAACCTCCCGTTTCCCTTGAGTGCTCCATGTCCAACAGCGGCTGTGCTGCGCTCACCATGCTGGACGCCAGATGCTTTATGTCAATGACTCACTTCCTGTAAGCAGTAGCACGAGTGTAGGCACTGCCGAACCCCTCTACGAGCAAGGCGCTGTCGGACCCGCCCACGCCTGAGTCATAATACCCAGGAGGGGCCGAGGAGCACTCCGTGCCAGTCGCGGCTCCCCGAGCTCCTCCCAGCACCTGCCAGCTGGCCTCAGCTGCCCACTGTGCCACAGGAAGTCGGCCCGGATGGGGGGCTCCCGTGACAGCAGAGGCGGGACCGGCGCCAGGCCTCACGCTTTTCAGACCTCACTGGCAAGAGCGAGTGCCGGAAAGCAAAGGCCTCCACTTTTCAGAGCTAGAGCTCCAGGGCTTGCAAAAGGATGCACAAAGCAGATGCTCAATAGACCTTTGTTCTGAGAATGAACGGATGAGTTGACAGTATGGGAGGAAGTAGGAAAGCCCCTCCTGACGGAGCTCTGGAGACTTCCCAGATGGTCACAGGCAGCAGAAAGCGCATGGCAAGGGGCCATGTGGGCCGATCAGTGTCCCTGCAACTCCGTGTTCACCCAGAGTCCCAGAAGGCGGCTCCTCAGGAAGGGCTTTGCAGAGGCTGCTAGTTCACGTGAGGCCCCATGGACCCAGAGACGGCGTCCTCGTAAGGAGAGAGCCGGTGTTGCCAAGCAATCTCGGGAAGAGAAAAGGCCAGGAGCCTCTGGGCGCTTTTCGCCAGCGCCGTAATTCTGCTGGGGTCAGCCCGGGCCGAGGGTTCATTAACACTGATTTCGAGCAGGAAAACTGACCCTGGAATCCCTGGCCCCACAGCAGATGTATGTCACCTGAGGGGGCGTCCAGGGCTTCCGGGTTTCTAAGTCCCGCCGCTGACAGAGCAGGAAAGAGCCACCCAGGGCAAGCGGCGGTGGGCATCGGGCCCAACAGTGTGGCATCCAACCGCCCGGGACGACCCTGAGGTGTGAGTGCTTGAACTAGCCGAGGAGAGGGGCCTCCTCCACTTCCTTTCTCTCCCAGCTCTTTTCTGGACACCTGAGCCCTCGGGGAGGCACCGTGTCGTAATACCACAGCCAGCCACACAGGCGGAGACGGAGACAACAGCTCCGTGCCACCCTCTGTCCACTTGCAGAAGCAGAAAAGCCAACCCGGCAGGGCTCGGGGATGTGGCGTCTGGGCTTCTCTCTCTGCTAGCTCTCTTTGCTCTCCCATGGCAGTTGAGGAGGCTCATGGTGCCTCCGCTGGGGCCGGTCCTGAACTTGTGATTTCCCTGCCTCAGCCTCTTGAGCAGCTGGGATGACAGGCGTGGGCCACAACACCCAGCCAAAGTGTTCCGTTCTACAAAGATAGATTCTAATTTGTTTTCTTAATTTTTATTTAGAAATAATTTCTGACTAGTGTCGACTAAATAATTACAAGTATAACGTAACCAAAAACGTTTCTAACGCGCATCAAGACTGCACATGGAAGCACTCGGCTCACCAGGCCAGGCCCTGCATCTGGCAATGGGCTCGCTCCTGGGCCCACAGGTGCCGCCAGGACCCTGTCACCCCTGCAGGCTCTTGGGGTCGCTTCCTGCAGGGCCCAGCGCCCCATGCGAACACCCTGCCTTTTCTTGGTTTCCTCTTAAAGCCCGCCTCCAACTACAGACACATTGCAAGGCGGGGGCGGGGGGGGTTCCACATAGGTACTGGGGGGCGCATGCTGATGCTGCCAGACCCGGGACCACACACTGAGAACCAGTCTGCACTTCGGGGAATGTCTGTGATTCAGTATCTTCACCACTTCACAGCTCCGAGTAATTACAGAACACAACTGGCTCGCCATCTGCTGCGAGAGGCTCCCCACTGCCCTGCCGCCAGGGTGCTCTGCCTGCCTCCTCTCCCTCTCTGCTCCCCGCAGGACCAATGAGGTCAGGGTTGCTGGGCTTGAGGAAGGAGGAAGCCAGGAACCAAGCTCCTCAGTGTGGTGTCATGCATCCTCCTTTGGACATATTTAAAGGCAACTATAATTAGCTTTAAGTACCAAATTTAAAGACTGTTTGAAAAGGTCTTAGAAGGGGGAGTTGGTTTCCTGTAGTTAAACATCTGTGATGTTGCCAATCTGCCGGGGCACAGGCCTCACACGGAAGGAAGCCCAGCAGCCTTTCCCTGCCCGGGAAGAGGTGGAACCCGA